TCCATAAATAGTTTAGGAAGAAACAGATTTGCACAAAATTTATGATGTTCCTAATTAGCAATGCTGTTGAGTGTATTTTTGAAACTTCACTTCCTTTGTCATATAGCTCATCTATAACAGTGCTGGATGGGGATTATGGGAGTTGTAGTCCAAAACATCTGGAAGGCACTAGGTTGGTGAAGGCTGGTTTATAGTAAAGATTGGTAGCTAATGATAGCCTTAATCCCATGGTGTGAAGTTTGAATGTACAGTGGTACCTCAGGTTACAAACACTTCAGGTTACAAACTCCGCTAACCTGGAAGTAGCACCTCAGGTTAAGAACTTTACCTCAGGATGAGAACAGAAATCGTGCAGCAGCCGTGTGGCGGCAGCAGGAGGCCCCATTACCTAAAGTGGTACCTCAGGTTAAGAACAGTTTCAGGTTAAGAACAGACCTCCAGAACGAATTAAGTTCTTAACCAGAGGTACCACTGTAGTTTAAAAATATTTATTCCAAATTTTATAGTCTTGCAACTTCTAACTTATGTTCATCATAGAACCTGTTATGCAGGAGATCCAGTGTACTAAAGCATTTGTCTATTTTAAAAACTTTTTAGGCCATCTGTCATCTAGCCAAAAAATTATCTGAGGAAAACAATTTCAGAAAAAGAAGCTCAGGAAAAGGCTAGTGAAAACAAAGGGTCCTTCTGAATGCTAGCAATTACTGGAGAAATGTTGGAGGGTATGGAATAGGATGTCCCTATTTTCATTGGAGAAATGTTGGAGGGGAGGGGATCTCACCCGATAATGTGTTCCAGGGACAAGGACCCACTACAGAAAAGCCCCTCACCCACATATGCTTTTTAGAATAACTGATCTCAAAAGCGGGAACATAAGTAAATCCTTCATTGCTGATTTTGGAGGCAGGCTGGTATGCGTGACAGTAATTAGTATCTCTTAATGTCTTCCAAAGTGCCTTTCCAAGTACCGTATTTTTCCGTGTGTAAGATGCCCCCATGTATAAGATGACTCCTATTTTTTTAAACCCAAAATTAAGAAATTAAGTTGTTTAGTTTTGGGGGTGTGTGGGGGAAGTCACTTCTGCCAATCACTCACCCGCCTGCCCGCCACTGCCAATCGCACACCTTGCAGCAGCCACCAATCGCCTGCTTGCTGCCACCAACAGCCCACCCACCCACTTGCCGCAGCCGCCAATCGCCTGCCCGCCTTGCCACATCCCCCAATTGCCTGCCCAATTGCCACAGCCACAGCCAATCACCAGCAGGCCTTGCCGCAGCCACCTATCACCCACCCAATCGCCGCTGCCAATCTCCTGTTTGCTGCTGCCATTAATCGCACACACACACACCCCGCATTCATTATCTGTGTATAAGACGACACCCAATTTTTTTTTTAGCAAAAAGTATTGTCTTATACACGGAAAAATATGGTATGTCATATGTGCACACACTTTTTAATAGCCATAGCACGTGGCAAGGCACTGCATTGGATTCATTCGGTTTCTTAGTGAAAGTATGACAGGAAGTCTTCTTATTTAATTTTACAAATATTTATTAGGAAGATTTTCATCCTGCCCTTCCATAATATTATCAGAGTGGCTTACTAAACCTAAGTCTGCTCACCTTCTATGGTGGGTGGTATTGTGGCCGGACCATGGGCCATGTCAGTGATCCAGTGAATGGTAGGGTTGTGTGGTCTGCCTCCTTGCCATTGGCCATTGGCAACAGGTCTTGGGCAGGTGTTCCCCAGTGATGGGCTTAGCTGGCCAATGAGCACCACTTGGGCCCACTTCTGGGGGGACAAATTGCAGCCTGCCCTCAATTTCGTCTCGCACAGTGCTGGCTTTTCAGCCTTCCTGCTGGAGCAGGGACTTCTCCAAAGTCTGCAATTGGGTATGCTGGAGACAGTGGCTGATGGGACACATACTCCTGTTCAGTTTCCTTTGCTCCATCATTAGTAGTTTTAAAACTGTGCTTGGATTAATTTGTACTGTGCATTTTAAGAGGTATATGTGTTTTTAAAAGGATGAACATGTTATTACGTTTGCATTAAGAATTGTACACTGCTTTGTGAGGTCTTTTATGTCCTGAAAGGCAGTTTATAAATCATGTTATAAGCCCCCCCGTAACCCCCCCTAAAATAAGCCGATTTGTTTATTCAACCAGTATGGACTTATATGTGGGTTGGAGCAAGATTCTCCCCTTAAACTTTTCTTTACAGTTTTTTTGGTTTCTGTCTAATGTTATTCCTGCAATATCTGGTTTCATTGGATGGAAAATTGTAACAAAATTTTACATAGCTGGTACAGGAATTTTATTTGCATATAAAAATATACTCCTATAAAAATATACAATTCTTTTTTATTGTTTTAAAAGACACACCAATGATTCAAAGCAATGTTTATCACTGTTGCCTCCATCCTTTCTTTCCCATTCCAAATCCCTCTCCTAAACTGGGTTCACCTTTATCCCATATAACTTTTATTGAACGAGCAGTTAGACCCTTAGGTATATTTCCTACAAAGATGTATAAGTTTAATTTTAGGCAGTGCAATCTTCTTAGAGGAGAAGAAATTAAGCATTGTGCCAAGTAAGGCCAGATATTTTAATAAAACAAGCCTTATATTTACATTTTCACAAGTCCTGTAGGTAGTAGTGCTTAATTACCATGAACGCTATCATTTATTTAGAGCCTACAGTGTGCTAGATGCATTAAGTATGTATTACAAATGAAATTGAAACCAAGGAAGCATAGCTCTGGAATCTATGATAGGGAAGCAGAGGCAACAGCCTAGGGAAGGCCTTAAAACAGCTGTGGGGGGAAGCGGTGGTCCTCTGGCATTGTTGGACCATAACTCACCATCCCTATCCATTGGCCATGCCAGCTGGGACTGATGGGAACTGGAGATCAATCACCACTACCTTAAAACATGCAAAAGAGGTTGGATGTGTTTGTCTCTCCAGTTCATTCTCATTTATGCCACTTTTTAACCTTTAAGGGGATTATAAAGTCCTTCCAGTGCCCGAACATATTGTAAAGAGGCAATCTATAAGTAAATAACATTTCTGAATTAAGTTGGTCACTTGGCACCTCAAGGTCTTTAGGAAAAGGGGTAATCTTGGCCCTCCAGATGATGTTGGGTTACAAATTCCATCATTATTGCCCATCCATGCTCACTGGGATTGATGGGAGTTGGAGTTCAGCAGCAACTGTCACAGGCCCATGCCTGGTAAGCGGATGGTTGGCCCCAGCTCATTTGCTAAGACATTCAGAATCAGCAGCCACAGTTTTGCCCATACATACAGACTTTTCTGTTTGTATCCCTTAGACAGGTCTTCCATGGCTTTAGAAGGCATTAAAATCTTTTTGCAGCTAATTAGCGTGGCCCAGAATCCCCTTTTATCTATTCAGTGTTCCTTTTCTGCTTCATGTAATTCACATTGAATTAGCTGAGAGGATGAATGACTCTGCAGTAGGTAATTGTATTTTAAACAATAAGAAACCCAGGAATAAATTAATTTGAAGGCTGCAGATGCTTTTTAGATACATGATCATTAGCTTTTATACAGAGGCAACATCATCAATTTGCATGGCAAGCATATGATTTTAATTCTTTTACTAGTAGGGGAATCTGATTTTGTTTTGACAGCAGAATCAGCACACAAAGACATAACACTGGTAATGATATTCATTTTCCATTTAGTAAAACAAAAGTGGGAGTTTGAGGAGTCAAACAATGGCTTGAACCTAGCTGGATTGTGGATGTGAGGTGAACAAATAAAATCTATTAGGAAGTGTTATGAATAATTCCAGAAACTGCTTTAATTGGATAAGGTCAAGCAAGTGAGCTCACAGGAATTGAAATATAGTAAGTCTATTAAAGTAAACTTCAGCGCTTTATTAAAATGATGGGAGCCTTATTAAAAATAAATCAGTGATGCATATTAATACCATCTTTCCCATCTACCCCATGTCCTTGTGACTTGACTTCTCTTATGCACACATACCTGAAAAAAATCCTTTTTTATATTTCTGCTGTTCCGTAATTTCCACTTTAGTTTGCAAGAGAGCAATTGTATATTAGTGATCAGGGGTCAACACGCAACAGTGCTCAAAGAGCATCCCTAAAGAAGGTACGCAAGCCATCTCTTAAACTTAAACTTCTCCAACCCAATGCAGGTGAGAGAGGGCAGCAGGAAAACGTCCATTACATTGTGAAGCTTTACAAGAGGACAAAAGCAGGAAGAGGATTGCATGTACTGAAAATCTTAAAAGATACAGCATATAGGACATGGGAAGTTTCACAGAACTAAAGAAAGATAAACAGCAGCTTACAATTATCTAACTAAATTATTCACTGCAACATAATTCAGAAACCATACGTCTCCCTTCACTGCTTATAAGACAATCTATTTGTTTGCTGGAATTTAACAATAGCGTATCTGATTGACAGGGCCCTGTTTCTTTCAGATGTCACTGTTTATGGCTGAAACTCACAACCACTAATTTAACTAAAGTCCAACTTGTAGCGTTAATGAGAAGAAAAAAGTCAATATCTTGACAGGGAATCACTACTTGTCAATCAACCTGACATAGTTCATTGCGTACGTAACATCGATAGAACCTACTTATAGACCTCCAATGATACGTATTGATTTGTGGAAAGATACCTTCGAATAAAAACTGAAATGCTTCTCGGTGGGGGTGGGGGGAAGGAATGTTAAAACAAAACAAAAAAATCAGCTGTGGGTGAATCTCTTTTTATGACTAATATAACAAATAAATAGAAACATCACAATGCAAAAAAGTCAGTATCTTTTTATTTTGTGGTCCAGTTGTCTCTTAGAAGTAAAACATATGATCTGATTTATATGGCTGTTGTTTTCCACCACAATCACTTTTTATCACATGAATCAGCCTGAATATTACACTGTACTGGGAACAATGCGATCCATTTTATAAATGTTTTGCTTCCATGTGTTTTTTCCCTCCCCTACAGATAGTAACTTTATCCTTGCAAACGCTCAGGTGGCTAAAGGATTCCCCATAGTTTACTGTTCCGATGGCTTCTGTGAGCTTTCTGGATTTGCACGAACGGAAGTCATGCAGAAGAGCTGCAGCTGTAAATTTTTATATGGTGCTGAAACAAATGAGCAGATGATTCTTCAAATTGAAAAGTCACTGGAAGAAAAGATAGAATTCAAAGGAGAAATCATGTTTTACAAAAAGAACGGTGAGTATTATTTCATTCATCAGACATGCTGTGAATGTAGCCATTATTCAGTGGTTATGTAACAACCACTATTTATTTTGCATATGAATGTTCAGAAGGCCACATATATGTATATGCATGAAAGTACACTCTGAAGTTGTGAAACTTATTATGAGTTTTTGTTAAATTCAGTTTAAAGTAGATTATATTCCACATTGTCCATAATTTGGGATTGTATTCAAATACTAACCCATGATTATGGTAACATGTAGCTTGAGCTCATGAAACAAATTCACAATGCAGCTGATTCAATCTGTATTTCACAACTTGATTGTGTACCATTTGAAATTGTCAGCTGAGCTTGGGAGAACCCTCAATGAAAAATATTGTACTGGAGGTGGGATGATGTGATATGAGTGGTAGTGCTTGATCTGTGAGGTTCTTTTCAAACATGATAATTATCATTTCAGTCACAGAGTTATGAAAACGCATGTTTGAACTGACCTTTGACACCCATGGCAAAATATACCGAGGTGTGTTACATGCCTACACTGAAATAAATAGGTGCTGGATAGCTCTGAACTTTGCGCGATAAGTCTTCAACCTGCCTGCACTTTAAAGCAAGGTAAAGGACTCCTGGGGGAGGGGGAATTGCTTCTTGCTCTTCAAAGATCTGATTACAGAGCCCACAACAAGCAAGTCTTCAGAGCTAATGGACTGCAGGCAACACCACATCTAGCCACAGGAATGCTTTATTTTTAAAATTGTAGTTGTCTCTGAAATTTCAAAAGTCGATTTGGAAGTTCCTGTTTGAAATAGTGGGGATTTTTTGAGGAATTTCAACAGAAGCAAAAGGAGTTTCAATAAGGTTATAAAAATTCCTGAAGGTGGTTTCACATGTCTATACTAATGACACATAGCAAATGTTACTTATAAACATTATTTGGGATATTTTGATGAGGAAATGTGTCATTGTCCCTTGAAGAAGGAAGCTAGACATGTGAGGCTGATGAATAACAAAAAGGAGGAAGAGAAGGCAGACTCTGTTCTTGTTCCTGGTTTGCAAGTGAAAAGGAGATAAAAAAGAGGGTAGCAGCAATAAGCAGGGAAAAGAGGGGAATCAACTTCTTTGCTGTGGAAATATATTTCAGCTCAGAACACAGCTCTTATTTGAAAGAAAAAAAAAAGTATGTTCTGGAAACGTTTCCCCAAGTTTTATACTGATGGAATTCTGTTAATTCTGCTGGTGCTGGGAAAAGAGCATGGGTTGCCAATTTTCACTGATTCCTCCTTTCTGCATGCCTGTGTGCCCTATTCTGGCAGTTTGTGGGACCCTTCAAAACAGAAGGTGGCCCTGAGGGACATGGAGGAATCAGGAACTGGTAAAAATCACTTCCCTATCTCCTTTCTCCAACAGGAAGCCTCCATTGGTCCCAGTTCCCTGTGTGAATGGATAGAGGCATTCTGGAGGCCTTCTATTTGCACAGGAGGAAATCTGACTCCAAATTCATACACACCAAAGAGAGAAACAACACTGTGTTTATGGTACTAGAGAATCATCTCTCTCTCTCTCTTCACAAACCCACACCAAAGGGAAAGGCATGAAGTTTAGTGAAGTTACCAGGACATTAATGGAGTATACCTTTATAATGTAGCATTGCAGGGATGCTTCATGAAAATTCAGCAGAATCATGCCCTTTGACAGCATTCACATTTGAAGGAAGACGTGCCACTGCGTCTCTAAACCATATTCCTGGAAAACTGATGCAAGAAAGATAATATGTAGAGATAAATAATTTACAAATAGCGCCTGAATATGAGCAATCCTCTTGCACCAGTAGTTTCAGAGCCATTATGCATGTCAATGACTAAGCATTACAATATGGAAGGGTAGACAATCACTACTATAACACAACTCTCTGTTCATTTCGGTGGGGGCTGGCCAGCGAACTAGGCTATACAGCAGCAGGAAAGCTTGGTGAACAGAGGAAGCAATGCAGTAATGTGTTTACTTAAGCATTTCTCAAGTTTTCCCATTCAAAAAGGGGAGAGCCCACTGTGTGTCCAGAGTTTTTGAAATGGGGAAAAAAACCCCAGAAAGACCTAGTGCTTAGCCTTTGTACATTCACCCACCAGTTTCAGCAGGTTAACAGGAATTCTGTTACAGTGGTGCCTCGCAAGATGAAATTAATCCGTTCCGCGAGTCTCTTCGTCTTGCGGTTTTTTCGTCTTGCGAAGCACGGCTATTAGCGGCTTAGCGACTATTAACGGCTTAGCGGCTTAGCGGCTTAGCGACTATTAACGGCTTAGCGGCTTAGCGGCTATTAACGGCTTAGCGGCTTTAAGAAAAAGGAAACAAACTCGCAAGAACTCGCAAGACGTTTCCCATAGGGAAATTCGTCTTGCGGAACGACTCAAAAAACGCAAAACCCTTTCGTCTAGCGAGTTTTTCGTCTTGCGAGGCATTCGTCTTGCGGGGCACCACTGTACTCGGTTGCATACTTCCTGATTGTTGCAAAGTATCAAGTGGGTCTTTCTGCATTCCATTTTTAGATGGAAGGATAGCATTTGTACACAGGTTGAAAACAAGAAACGGTTCAACATGGAAGAACTAATTTCGCTGAACAAACACAGCCTCTTCTTCCTTTCAGCTATAAATTTGCTGTTGATGATGCAAAACGAAAAGAACCAAAGTTGTTCGTTAATGACATGGAGAAATAGAGATTAGAAGCGGGAAAGGGGTACGACCTTTGGAATCTGCTTCCCCGGTTGTTTCATGGTACAGTCAGAGTGTTTGGAGTCAGATTTTCCTAATGATACAGACATACTGATCTCCTTTTAATATGCATTTCTTGCAGGTAGCATGCTTGGGGCAGAAGTGTCATTAAAATCAAGGTGATAGGATAGCTTTCCAGTATTGCTCTTACCTGGCAAAGAAGCAAATGAACTATTATTTACCTTTGTTGTGTCTCTTGTAATGAAACTTGGGGAGGTACAGTATAACAGTAATGGATGTAAGTTTTCATATGCAGTGGTGTTATTATTTTAATACATTACATGAGCTATTTTAGAAGCAAAAAAGCCTTGGGACATAATAGGAAAAAAGTGAAATATTGTGAAACTGTTCTGTAATTTTAAACCTAGAACCAGGAGGAAGTTTGACTTCTCTAATTGACAGCCCTGACACACTTTCAGTACAGGCTTGCCTAGAGACCAAGCAGTGATTTCAGGCACATATCCGAATTCATAATACAGAGCATTTTAAACACTGAATAATCAGCACAGAACTGAGCTAGGTAAAGTGCTATTAGGAAATATAGTAAGTATTTACTATAATGGCTACATTTTCTTGATATATTTTGTTTCTATTAGATATTGAACAGATATTCTAAAAGTGCTCTTTTATCTGGCAAGACAAAAACTCAAGAGCTCAGTTTGAAAACTCAGTTATATCTTTGCCAGTTGCTTTATACCATCAGTAAGTTGCAAGTTTATTTTTGTTGTTGTTCACATTCTGACCAGGTGCTCATCTGCAGCTTGTATTGCTTTCATCCCTGCTCACATCCACACCACTCATTTAAAGCACTCTTATACCACTTTAATAGTCATGGCTTCTACCAAACAATCCTGGGAACTGATGCTGAGCTGTTAGTCATTCCTTCACAGTGCTTCAATTCCCAGCACCCTTAACAAACAACACTTCCTAGGGTTTGGGGGTGGGGAGAAGGCATGGCTGTTAATGCTGTACAAGTGCCTGGTGTGGATGTGATCTATGTCTTCATTCTAGATTAAAAGGAGCTCGAAATAAGGCACCTGCCAACTTCTGAAAACTCAGGTAATACACAAGTAGGTCAGAATCAAGAGAACAACACAACTAGTTCCACTAGCTCAGGAGGGTTTGGGTCTACGCTGGAGTCAGGCAGGCGTTTCCACCTCACCATCTTCTGTAAACTCTTAGCTTTTAAAGTTCAGTGTGGATTTTCATTATGTACAGGGATCATAGAGAGAGTGGTCAATGGAGTGTCATGTGCTAAAAAGGGTGGATTTTGTTGCAGTCAGGAATGTTGGGTGTGGGTGTTTTGCAGACCATAGTGAGATGGCTCCCTTTGGTAGCTGATTTTGTGCATCATGAATGGGCAGGAAATTGTCTGTTCTTTAATTTCTTTCATTATTTAATTTATTGTCGTTGATGGTTATTGTTGTTTTCACCATCATTTTGCTGCCGGGTGATGAGGTGCTTATGGGATTTTGTGATTCAGGCGGCAAAAATAATTTGATAGGCTTTAGGTCCTAAGCTTAGGATGGCTGTATCTTCTTCTTTACACGGGACAGTCCTCTGCCGGGCTGTTGGAGGATAGTGGTGGGGGAAATGTATTTGCATTTGAGTTTATAGATATTTCTTTAACACATGTACCAGATTTTTCTCTCGTGTTGGGTACACATACACACACACACACACACACACACACACCCCCTACCATTTTTACAATGCTCTTTAAAACATATTTGTGCCACTCTGTTTATAATTCCAGGGTGATGTACATACAACACAGTGAGTTAAATATAAAATGCAACACTAAAACATTGTAGAAAACCCTTACTTTTTAAAACAAGCGGGAGATTGCATGAACAAAAGTGTTTCAGCCTAGCTCCAAGAAACCAGCAGCGTGCTGGCCAAGCCTCTGTAGGGAAAACATTCAATAAATGGAGTGCACTGCTAAAAACGCCTGTTTCTTTGTTGCATATCACACCGCTAATAAAGGGCTCAATAGGAAACCAGAGGCAAGGGGTAGGCTCCATTTGTTCCCCACTGTAATTTTATCTTGGGACATGGTGTAAAAGTACTATACAATATGAATGATAGTAATAATTAGGTGGGAAATGCATAAATCCACAGAGGATTGCAATAGGTATGGCATTAGCCCAGGCGGTCACCAGGCTGCCAGTCCTATCTGTTGGGTTATAATGTTTGCCAATTCATTCATTCTCAATGAGGGTTTCTTGGCTGTAATATCATCGGACAGGAAGCATTACACTGTCAAAACATGGTTTTTTTGTTTAAAAAGCATGCTGTGTTGATGAAGGAACAGTCAAAATGGCTTCAGCTAGGAAGTCAAGTCTTACCCAGTGCCTTTTTTTCTTAAAAAAAAATGTTTAGGGGTACTCTCATTTTCCTACTCATATTGAAATACTGCCCCTCAATGAGGCCAAACTTAGATTCACAAAATGTTTAGGGGTATACGTTCCCTGTGTCCCCCCAGAAAAAAAGCACTAGTCTTATCAATGCATTTGAGTCCTTTTGTTCTTATGATTTACTTACTTGGGCTTTAAGTGAGCTTTTTGCAGTGTGTGCCAGCAAAGGCTTCTCAGCAATCTTAGCCCTCTTCAGGATTGATGCCAAGTTAGAAGGACCTCTGGACTAGTCTAGCTTTTAATTCTTTTGCTCTTAAGATCTCTGGCAGAAATATTTACAGATAATCTATG